TTCCTTCGACTAGCTTATTCTCAGAGCGTTTTCTTTGCCTGTCTTCAGAATTTCCTTCGACTAGCTTATTCTCAGAGCGTTTTCTTTGCCTGTCTCTCGAGTCCAATTCTCTACGATGCAATTGATTAGATTTCTTCTTAAGTTGTTCCCTGTCTTCTGTTCTTCTATCTCCATTATGCCTAAATTTAGAGATGGCTTGAGCTACCTTCTTTCCTGGTTTCTTAGTTGGTGATGTATCTGTTTTTTTAACATATTTTGGTAACTTGGCTCTAACAGTCTTGCCAACTAAATGTGGCTCGTGAGCCCAGACATGCCTTTTAGCCTTGTAACATTTCTGGTTCACAAAGCTCTTGAATAACTTTGTATCAAAGTTAAACATCTTATCATCATAAGATTTGCTGATGTAAACTGCAAAAAAATAAAATAATAATTACTTAAACAGATTTAACTTATCTTTTTTCTTAGTTTTATTTTAAATGACAAAAAATTTTGCTAACTAAACGCATATGAGCATCTTAGGTCATTAAATTGGCTTTCAGAAAATAAATGCATAATATTTGTTTTGGGTCTTCTATAAATAGCTGTAGTCAAAGTGGGAGAGAACTTTGATTTTTATATAAGTCATTGAACTGAGAAACAACAGTAGATTGTAGATATGGGGCATTTACTTGGTAAAATACATTTAAGTAGGGAGGAAATTCAATTGTTTTACTGAAACGTTTGCGCACACCATTTCTCTTAACAATATTTGGCTTGAAATTCTTCCCTTAATGTTATATTTTGATAAAATTAAAATAACTTTAACTTGTTACAGGGGTTTATTTAGTTAGTTGCAATCCTTCACTGGAGAATTTTTGTTCATTCCCTCATATTTTGAAATTGCCTAATTTTGGCTTGAATATGATTTGGGAAATATTTTGGGGCAGAATTGATTCAGCTTTTGTTAGATAGACAAAACTAATAATGAAATTGAAATTTAGTTGAGAAAGATTAAGAGGAGAAGTTACCTTGCAATACAGAAGAAATTTTCGGGTCCAGTGGTTTGGTGCCCTCTGTTTTCCCATCATGGGTCATGCCCCCTAATTGCTCGGTGGTAAAAATACAATCGAGAAGGTACTCAGTCATTTTTTGAGGATCGCCATCAGGAACCTGGATGGGAAGTGCCGCCTTTTTGCTTAAAGGTATTTGCACCTGAGGGCACCCTTTTACAAGATACACTAATTTCTGTAAAAAAGAGACAATGAAATAGAATTTTACTAAAATATTATTTAAAGAGCTGATTGGCAAACAAAAAAGGTGAAAGAGACAACTAGACAATACGATCTTTCACTACTGCTTTTCTCACCTCAGAATTGTTTTTAGGAGAGGTGACTGATGGTATGCTGTCATTTGGAGTGGAACTTGCAAATCCTGGCAGTGATTTTGAAGAGCGAGGTGTGGACAATGGATTGTCAGCCTGCAAGAGGACATTGGACCTATACGTTAGCTTTGCTTTACTTTTTAAACATTAAGTAAATTGACTTTAAAAATATTCAAAGCTCCTTACGTCACATCTCATCCTGTATTTAGATGTAATAGAATGAAAATCTGAGAGCCAGGCTGTTCAGAAAACAAAAAGATTGTAGTGCCGCATTTGCTGCAGTTAATAAGAGCAACCTAAATTATTCCACATCCTTACCTGAACATCTTTGGCATGGGCACCAAGAAAATTCAGTTTGGGTTGATATGTCAATACAAGAAAAGATAGGAATCGTTTTGTCTAATTCAGATGAATTTAAATCTGAAATTTTAAGACAATAGTTAATAATAGAATGTGCAGAGATCTGATACTTACAGTTGTAGATTAGATTAACCTCTCCAAATAGCAAGATAACATTTAAGAGAATCTGACTTACTGCCATCATTACTGGTTTCCTCCAAATTTTCATTGTTGGTTTCTGAAGAGTTTTCAGTGTTGACGACCACATCAAACTTTGGCATACCTGTGGTGAAGAGAGTAAATATCAAGAAGAGGTTCAGTAGAATTTTACTCAAAGATAAAAGCTCAAACTGAATAAAGTTTCTAATAAGAGAATAACAAGACAAATACAATACCTTTAGGAGATGTATTTGATGGTTGAGATGTATTGTTATCTGACAAATATTTAGATGGGGATTCAGACAGAGATTTAGCTGGAGATTTAGCTGGAGATTTAGCTGGAGATTTAGCTGAAGATTTGGCTGGAGATGGAACCGATTTCTTGAGAGATTTATCTGATGATGTCTTTGGGGACTTGGGGATTATTGTCTCACAATCATCTCCGACATCATCTCTCTTGTTTCCTTGAAAAGAAACACAAGATTACCTTGTTGTTAGCTTCGGATAAAAATAACAACAGTAGGAATAAAATATACTAATAGCTTGTTGGGCATAAAGGTGAATCTTTTGAGAAATTAACTATATTAAAACAACTTATATTTTCCAACTAAACTTAAAATGTTATGACAGCTTCTATTCAAACTCAAAGAAAGATACCCAACAGAGTAAATAAAATAGTATACACACCTTTACCGAGACGTTCATGAAAAATATTCGGAACAGATGTGATTTTCATGAATGTTGATTCTTCTTCAGTTTGCTTTTGGCGTAAGAGCTCTTTCTTATTTGCTTTTTCTTCCTCAGTCTTTTCAATGACGTCGTCCTCTATTCCATCTAAAAGATTGTTAAATCCTTGAGAAGTGAGTCTAGTGAGATCAATTCTGTCAGTCTCTCTGAAAGCAGATCCTTTTGAGTGACGTCCACTCTGACGAGTAGCATGCTTAGACGGGGACTTTCGCTTATTTGAGGGAGAAGAATTCTTGAGAAGGACACTCTTACTAGGCTTGTGCGTTCCTGCAAATAAAAGTTGATAAGATATATGAAAGAACGTTACCAGTATTAGGAACATTTTGAAGTGAGCGCATTAAAGAAACAAATACCTTTGTTTGGGCTCATCTTCTTTGGTGACCGATGATTTTTCTTTCCCATGGTAGGTACAATTTGACTCTTGGCTGAAACAAATATAAAAAAGATTTAAAAGAGATGCTTATAAGGAATATATTACATGTTTGTCATTCCCTATCATTGCACATCACTCCTCAGGCCATAATACCTAGCCAATGCGATTGACAGGTTAGGTTGAGTTGGGTGACGGTCGATAACCATATTTTCCAAAACAAAGGAAAAAAGGTACTTTACTTTAAAAAATGGACCAGATTGATCGACAGAACGCACAATAACACGCAGTCACGAATGGACGTTTGAGACGGGTGAAAAGTCGTTACTAGTTAATAAACACATAGGAACTTGCAAAAAGCACAGCACTTACCACCAAAAAGATCACAGCGGACCTGATCCCTTGTTATCATAATGACAACACAAAGACAATCATCCAATTTATCTCCAAATGAATTACATTAAATCACAATTGCACAAAAACCACCAAATCTCCACAGCCTACTCAAAGAGGGAGAGGAAGAGAGCGGAAGATGGCGTCGCTGGTCTTGTCTCTCAGCCAACCTCTGCAGACAGTGCAGTGTACTGCACACAAACCGACGAGTCGGAACGGTTGAGACAAAATACAAAATTATGAATATCAGTAATGTAAATACAACTTCACAAACTAATACAGTACTTCAGAAATTAATTTTTTCTGCACTTCTCTACTTGAACTATAATCGCAATGTGGTCATCTTGGATAAGCGAGTTTCTCATTTGTTTCATTACCAACTACAAACATTAAAGATTATTCTCAAAACCGTTGTCTTAATTTTATTTCAGTCTTTTGAAATTTTTAAACAGAAATTTAATAAAATAAAATTGAAACGTGAAAATAAATATCGTTTTTCTAGTTTTAAATACAGTTTGCTTTGACAAGTTTCGTTTTAGTGAGTTGTTTACTTTTAAACATCCGCAATATTCGAAGAAGGGCTATTTACAGTGCCATCTCCAAAACAAATCTTGGTTCCATCTCTAGACTAGAGACGTAAAGTACTCAAAAGATTGTACAAATATAATAATAAATAATGTCGAAAAGAGGCAGGAGTTCGAGTTTTGATTCTGACGTATCACTGGAGAATACCGTGATAGAAATCTCTGAGTCTGACGATGAAGATTCGGCCGAAAGTCCTCTGACTTTATCTCCTGCTCCTCCGATCGGTAATTTGTCACATGATTCGAATTGTTTTAATAAATAAACCAACCGAACGTTTTACAACTATTCAACTTTACTTTGTCAAGCAGATGTTGATGGTGAAAGTCAAGACGTAGTTATCTCTGATGTTGTGGCTTCAACACTCCTTGCAGGTCTCTCCCCATGTTTTGCTATCCTTTAAACCAAGAATTTTAAGTTTTATTCCATTCTATCTATTTCTGTGCAAGTAGTTCAATTTGGTGACATTTTTCTTTGTGTAATATTGCAGGTACCTGTAGGAGGGAGGCACCTGCTTCATTCTCTATCTGCGAGTCCAGTATTGATGTTGATGAATACGGAACGGTTAAGGATGGATGTAGAATAGTTGATTATGAGATGCAAAACACTGGTAAGTGGCTTTCTATTTTCTGCGGTGGTTTGTCTAATATGAGATGTTCACGTCCACTGAAGGTAAAAGAAACCAACATTTTATCATGTAGTAATTGTATGTCAATTTTCATTTAAGATGATCATCAGTTCAACGCTAATGAGCCCCCAACGAAGGATTGTGATCTTGAATCATTTTCAACTTCTGATAATCAAGGTTACGTAAAGCTTGCTGTGATTTAATAATTTGAACTAACTGTGGGAGTAAGGGGTTCTATGGATTTAAGAACAATGTCCATTTTTATGGCAGAGGGAAGCAGTTGTTACCATGACAAGATAGTAAATAAATGTCATTTTTTAAACATTTGAACAGCAATAACAATGCTGGTTTAGAAATGTACAGTGTCTCAAGTACACATTCATTGACATATTGTGTGACAATTATCTGAAATGTATTAAAATAATTTTGAGAAAGACGGTATGCGAACAGATAAAACTGAATATATGCTGTGCTACTGCAGTATCGTGGGCTTGCTAACTGGGACTGCTGAGAAAAAGTTTGTACTTCTTTTACAACAATGTACTTCTTGATTTGTAATTGAATTTTTTTTGTTTTGTTTTTTTTAGATTTTGATTGTGGCCTCTCCATTGAAGACGACAATGATTTTGATTGCTTGTATTCCGATGAGGAAGATAAGGATGATGAACTATTTCCAGATTTATCGGTACCATTGTATAAGGATTCGCCACTCACTTCTGATTCGAGTCTTCTCGCTGTCTTAGCTTTTGCTTTGAGACATAACTTAGATGGAACAGCCTTGGTTCATTTGCTCACTCTCATTTCTCTTCACTTACCCAATGGCAACAAAATGAAGAAAACTCTCTATTTATTTAAGAAACACTTTTCACATCTTAAAGCGCCTGTCAAATTTCATTATTTTTGCTCTGATTGTTCCATTGTTCTAAAGGATTCAACAGATAAGTGCCCAAACCAGAAAAAGCACAAAAACAAAACACAGGTGAGCTATTTTTTAGAAATACCTCTTGAACATCAAATAAGGACTCTCTTCAAGAGAAAAGGTTTTGCTGACAATATTTTGTCGCGTTTAACAAGAAAAAAGGAACACCCCAACAATATAGAAGATATCTATGATGGGCAGCTTTATAAAGAATTAGTTGATAGTGGCTTCTTCTCAGAAAATAAGTACAATTTTACATTAACTTGGAATTCGGATGGAGTCCCAGTGTTCAACTCATCAAAGACATCAATGTGGCCAATCTATTTTGTGATAAATGAACTTCCTTTCAAGCTGAGGTTTAAGAAGTCAAATGTGTTGCTTGGTGGGATTTGGTACGGCAGCAAACCAATCTATAGCAAGATGCTGGAACCATTTCTCAGCAGCCTATCAACATTGCGGAGAGGATTAGATATTCAGCTGAATGAGCCAAATGAAGAAGTTACGGTTCAAGGAGTCCTTCTGGCTGGGACAGCAGACTTGCCTGCAAAAGCTGATTTCATGGGCATTAAACATTCAGGTGGCTCTTGCTCTTGTACAGTATGTAAAATTGAAGGAAAAAGTGTTAAAGCAAATCAAGAAATTCAAACAAAATCAGGTGTGTAGTTGTATAACACTAGAAAGGAACAAGAATTTGTTGAATGCAGCAGTACAACTCCTTTTATTTTCTTAAAGTGGAGATAATGTTCTTTGTCTAAATTTTCTCTTTTATTCCAGTTGTTTTGGAGGATGGCGATTCTACTGAAAGTGAGAATGAAACCAGTGAAAAAAACAAACCAAAGAAGTCTAAGAAAACTGGTACAAGTGTGAAACAGAAGAGGGTAGGATCAGTGTGGGTTTTCCCTTATTCTAACAGCCTTGATTTAAGGCGACATGAAGAGACAGAGACTGCTGGTGAACAAGCGCTTGACTTACGGTCCAAAGCAAGGGATCCTGATAGAGATAAAGTACATGTGTTAGGTGTGAAGTGGCCTACTTATCTATCTAAAATAATGCCAGACATGATAAGAGGTATGGGTATTGACGACCTCCATCATTCTTACCATGGTGTGGGTCATAAATTACTGGAACTGTGGACTCTGCCTAAATATAAATCAATGCCATGGTCTATTTCAAGTCGGATAGATCTAATTGATGATCGAATGCAGAAGGTATGTCTCCCAAACTTTGTGCAATGTGGAGTACGCACTCTATCCAACCTAAGCTTGTGGAAAGGGCAGCACATGAAGATATTCCTCCTTTACCTTGCTCTTCCTGTCCTTGAGGGAATTCTCCCTGTACAGTATTACAACCATTTTGCTACTTTTATTCACTGTTTATATGTTTTAAATTCTTCTTCAATCTCCCCTGAGGATTTAATCTTCTGTTCAAAGGAGCTAGACACCTTTGTTCGCCAGTTTCAGGAGCTGTATGGAGAACGTCATATGACCATTAACATACACAACACCCTTCATCTTTGTTTTGTTGTCAACAACCTTGGTCCTATGAGGTGTTTTTCATGCTTTCCTTTTGAGTCATTGAATGGGGAAATGCTTAAAATGATTCATGGCACAAAGTATGTTCAAATTCAGTTGGCAAACTGTGCCTATCTGGTTCTCTCATTCCCAAATGAAATTAGTAATTTAGAGTGCCCCCTTGTACAAGATTTTGCTAAAAATCTCCACCATTCCCATCAAAAAGTCAAGCTCTTAGAATGTGTCAGCCCCAATGTTTATGCTGCAGGGAACTACATAGATTTAAAAAATGTACATGTTGATGTAATTAACTCTCTACGTCTTGCAGGCAAGGATCCACCCTCTTGTATATTTTTCAATAAGCTAAAGATAGGTTCCAACCTGTTTGTTGCTCAGACTTATAAAAGAGCTACAAAAACTGCCTCCTATTTAGTCAGCTATAATTCAAATTCTAGTAAGAGATATGCAATCATTTTGTATTTTGTGAAAAGTCCAGGCACACCATCTCTTAATGTTTCATTTCAAGCTGCTATTCAATCAATCAATGTACGTGGCTTTAGTACTGATAGGTATTTGAAAAAGATAAAACATATTTCACGTTACACAATCTCACAGGAAATAACTTTTATTGATGTGCACCTTTTGAAAAACATTTGCTTCTCAGTACAAGTGGAAGGAAAGGATTGTTTTATATGTGAGAGAAATAATTGGCTTGAGATAGAATAAATTCAAACTAGTAAATCTTAATTAAGCCATATTTTAACTTAATATTACCACAGTGATTAACTTATTCAGTTTAAGAGAAGATTTTAGAGTTTTTAACCTGGTATATGTCTATGTACTAATCAAGTGAAAATAAAGTACCTACAAAATCAACTATTTTATATATAATTTCAAACACCTTTCACACTACGATGCAAACTAACAGCAGTCATCACAAAGTGAACTGAATTCAGCCTTCTCATCTGGAACCATTTGGTCATCACTGTTTCTCCTACGTTGCACTTCGAAACCAGGAACCTCCTGGTCAGTCAGGCTCAGGAAGAGGTCAATTTTTCGATGGGAGTCTTTATAGGCTGATTCCATTGCAGCTTTGTGGGA